AGGTCCTCATAAACATTCATGTTATGAAATCGATTCTGACTTAGGCACTTTTTATTATTGTTGCCTGCATAAAAAATTGTCATTAACTTTGTCAGAATACTGAAATTTGAATATCTGTTTGTTGTGAACACAGAAGCGATTTCATCTTAAAGTGACAAAGGGCAGAGTTTCTAATGAAAATGTAATTTGTAGCCTCTGACTGCAAATGCTTCTGTTTGTGCTAATTCTCATTTAAGTCACTGCAAAAGGTATGGTATATCGGCTTAAACAGCGTCAATATCAAAGGCTTTACTTTTCATTATTATTACTTTTTTCCTATGATAGTTTTGGTAAAATTCAAATGCATCAGTAATAATGTTTCACTTTTATCGCATTATCAGATTAGTTTTACACTGCCTTAACCTGAGTTGCATCACTTAAATGCCATTTAAAAATCAACCATTAAGTTGTTTCAAATGGTTCCAAGGAGATATTCTTGGATGCGCAAGAATTAATCTCTTGTGCCATTTTGGGCAAAAAGGTGGAACAAGGTTTCTATAGGTGAGGACAACGGTAGAGCAGTGTTTGCTGGCTGCCACAGAGGGGCTGGGGCTCCTGCGTCCTGTGTCCTGCATCCTGACACTCTGCACCAGCTGCATCCCCACTTCCCAGCTGGCACCTTACGGCTGCAGCCTCTCCCGCGGTGACACTGATGGGATCGTGAGCGTGACACTTTGCAGGATGTCTGGGGAGAGTTTTCTTTCCTTGGTTCCTTATCCTTCACCAAGTACAAGTTTTCTCCTTTTAATCTGCTTTGGGAACCTGATGCTTTCCCCAAGAATGTGTTTGATCCTGCCAAATGCCTTGTCACACACTTAAAAAGGAGTGGCTGGGGATAATTCACAGACAGTTAGAGACATCCACCCCTAAATACTTTGTTGGAGGACACCCACTTTGTACCCACGCACACTAGATGAGTACGAAATTGCCGGCGTCCATGAGATACCCTTGCTGTGCAAACAGGAGGATATATTTAGTGATCTTTTTCACAGACTGCCGGGATGTAAATGCTGCACTACTTGATTTGTGAGTTCTTACAGCAGAGTGGGATCTTGCTGGGATGTCAGCACACTGTTTTGGGGTGTCTATGGGCTTTTTGAAACGGATTCTTGGACTGCTGGTACAAATGAAGCAAATAAATCTGCTCCTGCTGTTGTTCACGAGGCTCCTTCCAGCTCTACCTCCTGCCTCTTGGCCCTCTGCTCCCTGTCTGTCCTTTTGCAAGCTCTGCCTTGCAAACTGCCTTGCAGTTCCTTTGCTGAACCTCTTATCTCATCGACGGATCCAACTAAGCACACAAAAGTGCTACTGAGAGCTTTTTCCAATTCTTCTCTGTTGATGGTAATGCATCCAGCGCTCCTATTGATGGATTAATATGGGGCTGGCTGTGGCAGGGCCCGTTGCTGGAGGCTGCTCCCAAGCACGCCGCCTGTGATCCTGCACCGGCTGACTCTGAACCCGTTTGATCGTTGTAGGGGGTCAAACGCTTGGCTCGAGTCTTTTTTATGTTTGTGTTTCTCTCAGGCAAATGGGGCTGAAGAAAAGATACTGGAGCGACCAAAGTGGAGCGTTCTCATGAAAAAAAAAAAAAAAGATACAAAACACAAAGCACCATTTGTGCTCAAATTTGGGGGATGCTTTAGATGACTTGGTTTTCTTCAGCTGAAGAAATGCTTTGATTCTATTCTATTGTTAATTAACCACTCTGAGAAAAAATACACTTGTAAATTAGGTGGGAGAGCACTTCAGGTCTCTGCACTGACTTCTGCTAAGGCTGGCAATCTCCTCTTGGTTCTCATTCACAGGTGCAAATGCTCTGGAGACCAACCCAGGGGTAGGTCACCGCTGCGGAGCTGTTGGCCTTCCTCCGCTATCAAAATCTTGCCACGTAAAACCGGTACACCCAGCAAGAAATCCATGCTCCTCTTCTGTCAGGAAAGTTCTTGAGGGGTTGTCTCTGTCAGTCTGCCTTTAACTGTGGAAATTCAATTTTGTGTGCCTGTATTCATGTGGAGCCCCACAAACAGGTCTGCTGGTAGAAATGGCAAGTCAAGCTCTATTCATTGGGAAAAGAGGCACAAACTGGAACTGGTTTATATTTTGGTTAAAGATCACCTGAGGCATTTCAATGGGATGATTTCTTGGACAGTTTGTACTTGCAATTTCATGGACGGTTAGGACAGCAGCTTCTGCCTACGAGTAGCTGTAAATGGCCAAACACTATTCAAAAGCCATATTGTAGTTGGAAAAGTTGACTACATCTTCCAGAGGACCGTTTGAGTTTGAGGTCAGTTATTTTTACTTTCCTGTTTTGTTCTAGTTAAATATTTTTACTTGCTCTCAGAACAATAGCTCCCACCACACTGAAGCCTTTGCCGAATGCAGTAGCTTTTCATACCTCCTCCTGTAGCAAGCCATGCAGCGCCCAAGGGTCTCATCTCCTTAGTTTAGCTAAATATAGGCTTTTCAAGCCCTTGTATAGTGTCTAATCCATACCTTTACTAAGCTTAACAAGCTGAATCCAGTGGCATAAGCAGCTGATGCAGCTTTATGGGTAGAGGAATCATCTACATTCTCTTACACTTGCTCTTAATCTGCCAGGGTTTGTTTAAATTTTCTCCTGCTTAATCTGGTATTTTGCTGCCTGTATGTACTTGGCTCTGAGGACTGGATTGTTGTAATGATTTTTCCTGTCTGCAAACTTACTCTTCAGTTTTCCATGCTATCTGCCCAGGGAGACCCAATAATTTTATATTTTTTCAAGTAACTGTTTAAGAAGATAAAAAAAGTCAGCCAAATCTGCAGTTACTTTTACATGATTCCGAAATAAGGTCCTATTTACCAGCCTGTTCACAGACTGAACTCACAAAACCAAGAGTTTCTCTGGCTTTGGTTGCAAAGCTTCTCTCACCCTGTACTCTTTGGTTTGGAGAGAGCTGGTCCCGTACGCACGCTGGCAGCTGCAACAGGATGAAAATATCCACAAAGCTTTCTGGCAGAATCTTACTTTGACAAAACATTTACAATGGTTATAAAAAAGATTTGTTTCCATATCTTAGCTAGTTTGACTTTTTCCAGCTTTTTTGCAGACTCAATATGGGTTTTGTTGATGCTCTTTTCTAAAAGCAAGTAGATCTGTGGTTTGCAGTCATGATGCATACAGTTACACAGCACTGCATGCCTTGGGATTCGAAAGTGGTTTCAAACCCACCTTTGTAAACAGAGGGAGTCACAGTGCATTTTAACAACTACTCCTCCTGCCCCAAGCATACACGTGTCTGGGGGTGTGCTCACGTACACCATGTGCATGCACACACGTGCACACCCCCTGCCAAGAACTCTGAGCTCAATGGACCCAGGTAGCTGGTTCACAACAGCAGTGGCTTGCAAGGCTTAAAAAAGCATAGAAGAGGTGGGCATGCGTGGTCACGCGTTATCCTTCCTTTATCTGTGCACCTTCCTCTCTGCCAGCAACCAGGAGTTCAGAGCCTTTCTGCATCTAGACCATCATGTTTAGGAATTGTTGGTGTATCCAACCTACATGAATTTCTGTAGTTATTTAGCTTGTTTGTAATTTTGAACACGTTGGTGGTATTGTCCTAAAGAGCTTGAACACGATGCGAACGGTTTGAGAGATTCTGTAAGATACTTGGCAGAACTGACCCGCTCTGTTGTCTTGTCTGTGGGAGAGGAGCAAACATCCTCTCCACTGCTTCTTATGGGTCAGAACCAGCAGCTAAAAACTCGAAATTTGTCTTCCTGGACTAATTGCCACTTTGCATGGCCATCGGGATGCAAGGAGGCTGAATGCTACCATATGCATAGAGATGACATTGACATGACCTGTGCCCAAACCCTTTCTCTGGCAGAAAGATACTTCGGTGTTTTCTGCTAACCGAAGAGCACTGAGAAGGCATTTCAGGTGGTGAAGTAGTAAAACTCCAGGAGTGCTCTTAGCGGGGTGTGATCTAGCCTTATTTGTGCAGGTGGTTAAGGTGAAGCTACCTTTGTTGCCTCTCGTGGATCCTCTTGCCTAGTTGAGCTTTCATGGAGCCATGACACAAGGACTGTATCTCACAGCATGCAGCTGAAACTCTTTTTTCTGTGCTGCAAATGTGCCTTGCAGCTTGCGTTACTTCAGGCCGAGCAAGCAGGAGCAGGATCCTGTTTGCTTTTCCTCTGTTGGAAGGAACGGTGCCATTCTGGAGTCTGATTATTTGGCTGGCTGCTCAGCACATTGACTGCGCAACAACTTCTTATCTTGGGTCTTCATTCCTTTGCAGTTTAGCTTTGTTTTTCCCCAGCGCTGTGTTCTGCCATTGGATTGCATTCATGCAGCGTGCCCACGGGCTGCACTGTAATGTTGCATGCATTGTGCCATCCAAAATAATCTCGGCGGGTGTTCTAAGCAGCTGCCGTGATACAACCCATCTTCTTGGCAGCCAGAAGTGCTGTGTGCTGTGTGTGCTCCTCATCTTCGTATATTGCAGAAGAGATTGGAACCTATAGAAGTCTTGCTTATGGTATACTTTGCCAAGATTACTCTGGTACCTAGCAGCTGTCTGTACATGCTTGGTAAAGAAGATGTGTTTTGTTAATTAGGATTATGTGAGATGGTGCTTAGAGAACTCTATGTAGATACAAAATGGTCTCCCTGGGAAAAAAAATTCTTTGGGACTCTCTGCCACATTTTAATGGAGGTCCACAGTGAGCTGGTAGTGGGCTTCTGACTGACACCTTTTTTAGCACCACATCGGGAATGTAGGCTGCAGAAAATCTCGTCTGACTGTACTACTGCAAAAAACACCTAAGCTTTGCTTTGATATAGCCATTAGCAGTCGGCATAGCTGCACAGTAAATGCACAGCTTATTGGGGTCTGGGCTTTTTCCTCATTATTTGGGTTCCTGCATGTTTGGAGATGGACTCAAGCTAATGTAATATTTGCCTTCATATATTCCAGCTGCGTGGGTGTTGAAGAAGAAGAGGCACCAGATATCGACATCTATCATTGTCCAAATTGTGAGAAAACTCACGGAAAGTCTACTTGTAAGTATACTTACACAGCTGGTCCTCAAATACATAGCAGATTCTGTATGTTTAAAGAAAAGCTTTTTTTTTTGTCCCCCCATTATGAAAAGACACACCTAAATATCATGTGTCATAAATACTAGAATTCAAACCATGAGGTGAAAAAAGATGTTAGCGGGAGAAAACGATGGGCTGGATTGTGGAGCTTTGGATGCAGCTCCCTGCCTGGCCTCAGGCAGCGTGTATGAGCTAATGCAAAGCACCTTACCTGGAGAGCTTCAGTCCTCAGTCCTGGCAATGAAAATGGTGCTTCCTTCCTCGCATAGGGTTAGGAATTGTGAAGGCAGTTAGTACCGTGGGCTAGAAAAATCCTATGAGACAGCTAGTTCTAATACAGTGATTTTTGGAAACTACATGGTGTTTTTTGTCTTTGGATGAGAAAAGTAAGAAACAGTATGTTATGCTTGGCCTGGATATGAAACTGTAGTGATTGCAGTGGCAGTCAAAATTGTAGGATGCACTGAAGGTGCCAATTCTCTTGCTCAGGAAAAAGTTCTCCTGAGTAAAAGTGACAGTTGATCTCAGTGGGAGTTTTGTCTGGGAAAGAACTGTAGGATGTGTTTGCTTTGGTCAGATTAATTCACAAATTCTTTGTATAATACAATGGGGAAAAAAAAAAGAAACTAAACTAATCCCTGTAGAAGATGAAATGCTTTAATTGAAAGCCATTTATTGTAAATAAGCAACAACAATGCAGAGGTTCTCACTGCTTTGCAACCTTAGAGCAACACACAGAGGAAGAGCACTGTGCTCATCTCCCAGCAGCTAAATGAATCATAACGTTCCTTTTTTAGTGTGAAATAAGGGGTGGCTGGAAACTGACTTCTGTTATGTTACAATTCAGTAATTTTAAAACTGAGCAGTTACTTCTGCACTGCCTTAAAAGCTAAAGTTTAACAAATTTCTAGAGGGAAAAGGGAGGAGTTTGAAACGTTCATTTTGGGGACAAAAAATAATTTTTCCACTCGACTTTTTCAAAATCAAGTGTGAACTGGAAACCTGAATGACCTGCAGCTGTTCCTGTCTCCCAGATGGTCTGCTGACAACTTTGGCCCAAACAGGGTGCCAACAAATTCAGCAAACTGACAAAAAAACCCTTGAGAGGCTTGTTCTGAAAGACTTAAAATCAATGCGTCCCCACAAAATGTTTTGATTGAAAAGAGTCAGCCTTTCTAATGTTTTGTTGGAAGATTTCTGACAAACACGCTGGAAATTGGTCAAACAAATAACCACAAATCATCTTCAAGTGAACAATGTGGTATTGGAATGGGTTGTGTTGAAAAGTGGGGTATGACTGCAGGTACTCTCAGGTTGTTCTTGACCCAGCATAGAAGCAGCAGCACAGGATTTCTAGCCTATGTGAGTTTTGTGTAACATTGAGATGTGTCTGATGCTTTGATTTCTTTCACTTTGCTTTGAGTTATGAGTGATGAAAGGCACCTACTTTTCAGTGTGAGGGGAAAAAAATCAGACAGAAGCAGCAGAAGTCTATAATCAGGGATTAAATATCAATTCTATAAAAACTGTGGTGCCTAATCTTAGCATTCAAGAAATGGCAGTTTCGATAAAAAGATTACAAGTTTAATATACCAGTTGAGGAGAGTTGAATCAATGACCACCTTCTGATGCTTTAAGAAGACTTTTGGCTATCCAGTTCTTTTTGTCCAAATAAAAATCCAACTTGGCAGTATGTCCCTCAATCTGCATCGTGCAGCACAGCAGAAAGTGCTGCTGGAGTGCTGTTGCTAGTTATAGTCTTATCAATGTATGAGGTCATCAGCATGGTAGGAAAACAGAACATTATGTCATTCTGCAGTATAGCAACACGACTTTGTTTTCTCCTTTCAAATGCATTGCAGAAAGTTTAATAATGTACAAGACCAATCATCAAAGGAGTTGAGTGTCAAAATTTCAGAAGCATTGGTCATTGATAACCTTACCTCGAGTTTTGGTGAAGCGCAAGATCACAGGTTCTCAAGCTGCATAGCCATTTTCACTATTAACTTGTAGAGTCGTCGATCCTGTTGAAAAATGAGGCTGTTATCCTGTAGCCCCTCCTTGCGGAGTGCAATAGGCCAGGAAAGTTAAAAGACTGATGAAATGAAGGCAGGAACAGCTTGGCTTGATGCATTCATTCTGTCAGGCATTTGTATGCAGGGCATCCTGCTACACGGCACTTGGGCTCTACTGGGACTTCTGTGAGGTGATCACTTTCATTTGTTTATTAACTGTTACAGTATAAGTTTAAACCGGTTATCTAGCACTATCAGTTTTGTAATAAATGAGTAAGAGTTGTTCCAGAGCCAGTAGTTCACTGGTATAATCTAATTATTGCAAGATTAGCAAAAGGGAAACGCAGACACCAGTTGTCTGTTATGCAACTTGTCTGGATTTAAAAATATACGTGTATTTCTGGAGCATGCATTCCACAATATATGTTTTCCAGATGTCAAATTTAGAAATCATTTTCCTCTTCTTACATTTTTCCACTTTACCAATGTGGCTTAGTGGCTACTATTTCAGAAGATTGCTTCCTGTCATATGACATCTCCAGCCATTTTGGTTTAATGAAATTTGTAGGGACTTCTCTTTGGGAAAAATTATACACACTCATACCAAATTTTCTGACTTCATTTAAATAAAATCTAAGTGCTTTGTTTAGGCAGACTTGACTCGTTTTCATAACACAATCTGAAATGTTCGGTTTGATTGCTGTCTCATTTGCAGGAGTGAAAATCAGGAGAAATTCTTTGGAATTGGTGAATTTACTTAGATGCAAGCAAACCAAAGTCAGGCTGAAACTGTTTTTTAAGTAGTTACAACCTTCAGTATAAATCAATAGAGAGCTAACAGCGTACTTCTAGGTATCCCTTATGCATATAAGTATACTTTTGAAGTCTAGAATTACTCATTTTGAGATACAGTTTTCATAAATATATATTCCCTTCTTCCTCTGGCGGGTTTTCTGTAGAAGGAGTGGGTTATAATTTCCAAAGGTCAAATTTGGATCAGAAAGTTCTGCAGAAAAAGCAATCTGTAATCATTTAAGAAAAAAATGGCCTTTCTGGCCAAAGCTAGTATTTGTTGCGCGTGTTAATAGGCCTTTAAACCTTACTGTGGTGTTTATGGTAAAGATGAAACATAAAGAGAATCGCTGAAAATGGGCCAAGTGTCGATTGTTTGATGTGGTATATTGGACTACAGCAGCCGGCTTGCTGCTGTCCAGGAGATAGCACCTCCTGGGGAGCGTTCTGGCAGCAGAGGCATCTTTGTTGCCTCTGTGTGAGAGGTGGATGTGAGCAGCAGATGCGAGCGGTAGATGTGAGAGATGGATGTGAGCAATGGATGCAAGCGGTGGATGCCTGCTGGCGCTCAATGTTGAGGGGAAAAGCTCCCCACTGCTTTTTGAAGAGTTGCAGTGAATTTCTTAATTCAGCACTGATTTGCTGCTTTTATTTCTCAATGCTCCATGCTATCTGAAGTGTAATAAAAGAAGGCGCTAATATTGATAAGCTCTTTAATTTTCACTGTGGCAAGTGACACCTGTTTCACTGGGACTTGTGCTAAGACTTCCAGTGTTGGTTCGGATCTGCTGAGAGGGGGAGGAGGCAGTTGTTGGAAAGGGAAGGAGAGGAGAAAGGTTTGGCATTCACGTCGGGCTTGTTTCCTTTGTTACCAGGAGTGTTGAATTAATACACTAAGCCTGAGAGTCATTAAGATAAAGAACTAGCAGCTTTAATAAATATATCCAGCTAGGCTGGGGAGCTGCCTGGAACTAATAAAACCAACATGCTTTGTGCAAAACCTGGGATGGATTCATTGGGAGTTAAACTTGAGTTATTCCAGGGTTGTGGTTGGGAAAATGAAGTTAGCTTTTTCCAAACTGTGGCCTCCAGATTTCTTTCTTAATGAAAAAGTATGTGGGTCTCTGTGTGTGTGCATGTGCAAAGAGCAATTTTTTAGTGCTGTCCATGCATGGTTACTGAGGAGTCTCGTTCCTTCCCTAGCTGTTTTGAACAGTAAGAAAAACATAAGAGAACTTGATTTTGGGGTAAAATATTGAGTTTCATGATGTAAAACAAGGGTGAAAAATAAAAGTAAGTTGTGACATAGGAAAGTTCTAGTAACAGAGGCTTGAAATGATACAAATATGCACTTGGGATAAAACCCAATTTACTACCAAAGTGAGCATGTCTGGACAGACTGTGGAAGTAGGAACAGCTGAGAGAGATAGTGCTGACTAAGTGAAAAACCTGGACCAGTTTTTCTTGCTCTGTGTTATCTGGCTGTCAAAGAGGCAAGGCAGAACTACATTGCCATTTGACTTACTTATTTGTGCTTATTCCAGCTGAGCCTTGCTCCGTGATGAACTTGCCTGTATGTCTGTCACCCACTGGGAGCACAGTCAAGGGTGCTTCAGTCTGCTGTCATCAACTGAAGGCCTAAGCCTGGCTTGCCTTTCAAAACCTAGAAATAAGAGGAGCTCTAAAAATTGCATTTGTGGTGCCCTTGCGTCTTTTTTTTTTCTTTTCTTTTTCCTTTTATGTGCATGCTGTGTGCAGGGCGTAATTCAAAGCCCATCAAAATTGATGTCAAATCTGCCACTGCTGGACAGACCTCTATATTGCATATTGAGAAGGCAGAAAAGTGGCTTTCTAAGCGTTTTATGATAAGGATTAAGTGTGTAGTCTGGAGAGTACAAGATGTCCAGAGCCTGTGTTTGCATAAAGCCTGCAGTAGCTGTGCAGCTCAGTAATTACCCGTCTGGTTGCCCGTACAAAACGAACACTGTTCAGTATGTAATAGATCTTCAGGCTACAGTATAATTGTCTAATGGTGAATTGAGAGCAATATGAAAATTTGCAGTGCAGCATAATGGCAGTTCCCTCTTCTCTACTCGCATAAGAAATGAAAAGAAGATTTTTCCTTCCTTCAGATGTCGTAATAATTATCTTGTACTTAACATACAGTACTGTCCAATTAATTCTTTTTCAGTGAAAAAGAAAAGAAATTGGCATAAACATGATACTGGACAGACGACAGAGGTCAAACCTGTACAAAACGGGAGCCAAGTCTTTATAAAAGAACTTCGAAGTCGTACTTTTCCAAGGTAGGTTGTTTGGCTGCATGTGTGGACAGGGCTGTTGAGGTAAAGCATGTGTGGCCAGTTTCCTACGAAGCTGATGATGATCCTTGCTGAAAGCATTACATAGTACAGAACGAAAAAGTTTAAATGGGCTCTGTTTTATTGCAGATGTCCTAGGCTCTTCCCTTTTTTATGTTTGTGTAGTCATATTTAAATCGACTCTTGACTGAACCCAGTTCCTGCGGGTTTCCATAGAAGCTAGTATTTGTGAAGACAAGAATAAGAACATGTTTGGCCCCTACAACATTTGTTTGCATAAGAAACTAACCAATGTATTGCATAGAATTATCCATTTCTCAAAAGTACTAATGGTTTTGCTGGAGTCGGTCTCCATCTTGAAAATACGAACAATGACATCCTCAGTAGCTACAGTGACAAAGGCTCTCTTATTTGGGGTAATGAATAGTGCTAATTGTTAGGTGACATGTTCCACACTTTATTAGGCTGCTTCACAGCCATTTGTAAGAGTGATAATTTTCTTCTGGTTCTTTAATGTAGGCCTTAGCCAAATAAATCCTTAATTATTAATGACTAATTATTTTAGAAGAATCCTTGGAGACTGGTAAAGCATACTTGGTAAACATACAACTTCTTCCTTTTTACAGAGAATTTAATTTCACATTTAATTTCAGATACTGGTCTTAGGCTGGTTAAGGAAAAGACTGAAAATACCTCTGCAAAGTTTGCAGTGCTTACAGATGTGTTTCACTGAACTCAGGATCCGATATTTTTACTTTCTTGGCTATTTTTATTTGGGCCTGCTAGATTTTTGTCTTAGCCTTTTTTTTTTGTATACAGAGCAATTTGACAGGTTGCAAAGCTGATTTCTTAAAAAAGATTTAAGGCCTAGGCAGAATGATTTCAGTAACCTCGAACGGCCTCTGAGATTGCACTCACATATGCAATATCTCTGAGGCACTCCTAAATTGTAAAAAAAATGGCCTCCCTTTTTTTTGTTTCTTTCTCACATAAATGTGCACATACAAAAATCCTGCTGCCAAATTAAAGTTTCTGAGACTTTCTGGTCTGTAGCCAAAAGGAGTGCCTGCAAGATTCAGGCCTCTGACATCTATACTTGCACCATTAGTAAAACAAAGTCTTGTTGAGAAATTGTCTCTTTTGAAGAAAATGAATGAAATCTGCAGATGTTCACAGAACAAAACTCAAAACTCGTCAGTCAGAATGTGATGAATAGAAAATGGGGGTCTCCGTTCAGAGACAGAAGCATCATTGCTGACTCACAGCTCATGACAGTAAATTATAACCCACGGTTAGTCCCTTGGTAAGGCTTGGATCAAAAGGAACAGTGAAGAGAGCAAAAAGGCAAAAAATATAATTCATGTCATTCCGCTCTGGAATGTTTAATACCAATATAGCATTAGAGTAGTAATAGTAGTAGTAATACTAATTAAATCGATGGTTTGAGTGCTTCAGTGTAGGTGCCAAACTCTCCATCTTGACACAATCATTACTAGATGCTCTGGTACTGATTTCTCTTTACAACTATGTATAAGTTTCTGTGGCGCATATAGGAGCAAATCAGACTTGAACAAGTACGCGAGCTATATACGTGCATTGTAAAGTAAGTGCAGAGGTTTAGTGATAAATGTTGGTTTACTTCTTGCTCCTCAGAATCTCCAGCCTTGTTCTTTGTGCATTGCTGGTGTACGATACCAGTGCTCACATAAATGAGGAACGCTCCTTTTAATTAGTTATTAGTTAAATTTGCCTCCTTGAGCAGCCATTGCCAATTCATTGTGGTTGGGGTGATCCAGAAATAAACTGGGTTTCTACAGCTTATCCCTGTTTGCATCCGGCCATCTTGTTCGGAGTTCAAACCCCACCAGGGCGGCCTGAGCAGGCCCAGGGCAAGGGGTTCCCCCTGCGTGGTGGGGTCGAAGGAGGAACCCCCATAGCTAAAGGGTGTCAGGGGCTCTGCTGCAGGTTGGGCTTCATGGAGCAGCGAAGGCGGCGAGACCTCAGCGTGCCAGCCACCATGGCAGCACTCGCAGCCTCATCCCCTTTCCCGCCCGTTTTTGGTGCTGTATGAAGATGTGAGCTGTAGTTCAGAACTGCTGCAGGAGAGGGCAGTCACGTATTAGCCTAACCTGCCCGGGGAGATAGTGCTTTTTGGGGTGAACACTCAAAGTTTTGCTGTTCCCCCCGTCGGCAGCTGTGGCCCTGGCCTACTGGACGGTGTTTGGAGCCCAGCTGAGAAACAACACACAGCAGCAGGGCGCTTTTGGGACCGATGGTCCTTCATATACAGTCACTTTTTACTCTGAATTCAAAGTGTTTTACTCTTGAAAAGACCTAGAAATCAGACTTGAATTTCCCTTGAGAGTTGTCAGTGCGAATAGCTGGTCATCTGGTGAAGCTGCCCTTTCCTTAGTCCCTTTGAAGCCCTTCCAGTGACTTGAAAAGGATTAGCAGAATATTTCCCGAGCAATTTATTTGACTTCTTAAAAATTATTTGCAAAGTATTTCCTGGGCAATTTATTTGAGATTATGTAACCTGTTTAATCTTGCCTTCTTTAGAGTGGAACATTTAACACTAATTTCTTTAACATTGATCACTGGTAACTCGACAGATCCCTATAGTAGAGGTCTTTCCCCGCAAGCTGTTATTTTAGGAGTTTCCAGTAGTTGGTGCGTGAGGCTCAAACGAATCGATTCCAGATGATTTTAGTGTGCCCTGCGTGCTTTGCAATAAACGGCTTTGTGGCTTATGTCTTATGCACCTAATTTGCATATAATTGCTTATTCATAACCTTTTCCTTTCAGTAGTGAAATGCAGGGTATGCCAAACTCTGCATGGAAGTATCTCACTATTGAATCTGTGTTTACTTTTTCAGTGCTGAAGATATAGTCATGAAAGTGCCAGGCAGCCAACTAACAACAGAGTATTTGGAAGAAAATGGCTTTGCAGAGCCCATCCTTGTCACAAAGAAGGACGGCCTGGGTTTGTCCGTACCTGCACCCACCTTCTACGTCAGCGATGTTGAAAACTATGTTGGTGGGTAGCTGGCAAGCAGGTGGCATTGTACTGTTTGGCGCTCAGCTGCTTTTTTAAAGATATATATGTATTGTTTGTATAAAAAATTGTAAAATCTATTCTATAATATTGTCTACATCTTGAGCTATGCTGACTTCAGTATTTATTGTGTAGTGGTAGCTTGTAATTAACAATTAATTCACTCTGGTTTCTTGTGGCAACTTGACAGTCAGCCTGAGCCAGAGTGCATTGTACTCTGTAGCACTGCATTAAAAGAAACAACCGTAGTAGTATCAAGAAATAGTTTCTTCAGACCAGGTCTTAATTGATTACTGCCATCTCACTTTGTATTGAAGGAGGTACTAGACTGAGACTCCCACTTTGCAAAGGCAGTCCACTTTTTAACACTGGTGTCAGTGAGAGGTATTTTCATTGCTACTGGTCATTTGTATTAATTTTGACATCCTTCTGTCTCTAACCTGAGCAGGGAATTGTACTGCATCTTCTCACAAGTCTTCACATCATCCCACCTTGGAAGACATACCTTGGCCAGGAGCCATGGAAGTGCTCTGAAGTGGCTTGTCTTGTCTCCACATCCTTCTTCCTTTAGCATGTGTGATCTCGTCTCTTGTCCTCTCTCGCTCTGTCCCTCCTCGATGTCACTTTCTGTCCAATTCTCTCTCCTTCCAGTCTTCTGGCAAGGCGTTGTCCTTTTGGAGCCGTGACTCCGGCTCCAGTGTATCTGTCTGCATTTCGTGGTCCCTTTATCTCCTCACATAGTCTGCTGACCTCCTGCACTCTCCTTACCCAGTTCCCCAAACTGTAGGGTGCTGTCACCAGCCACCACTGTTCTTGACTGTATCTGTTGCTTTTGTAGTGATTGTGTGCAGTGAGATAACTATGAATAAAGGAGTTATATCAAGACCCCTGATTTTATTGTTATCTCTATCCCACTGCTTCTACAGGAAACATATTTTCCTTGCCCGTCTGCTACGCTTAGCAGATTTTCTTGTATGACCTAGGTGCTCCTTGTGCATCTGCTGGCTTTCTCTCAGCCTCTAGCTGAAGTAATCCACCCAGCCAACAGAATGTTAGTGAAAAGCTGGAGCGAAGAACACAAGTTGTTTAATCTGAAGCTGCCACCAGATTTGAACAGCACAAATAGGCGCTGGTCTAACGTCCATGGGGTTAGTTCTCTTGGACGGGATTCCCAGGCAGGGATTTGTCTCGCTGTTTTGTAGTTTATTACATTGGACCTAGGATGTCTTTTAGAAACAACCTGAAGTAAGTAGCAGAGGACAAAACGCCACAAATGAGCCTGCCAAATACATCATTACTGTTCTGGCATGTCATGAAAAAAAAACAAATTGATTTTTTTTCCCCTCCTAATGTGAAAAAAGCTATGAATGAAATGCTGGGAGAGGAAAAACAGCCAATTAAAATTGAAGGGAAGAAAGACTGGAGAGATGCTTTTCTTGCAGAAAGGATAAGAGAGTGTGCTTAGAAATGGGTACTGTTTATAAAGCTCTGACTTTCTCCGTGTGTCCTCTGGTTTGCCCAGTGTAAAATTCCACTAATTGACTGATACTGTTGGTATTAACACTGGAGATTTGTATCCAACAAGGTCTGTTGGAGGAAATGTGTAAGTACTAGCAGATTATTCTCTGTACACTAATACAGACAGGATGGATTTTTGATAGGTGTGATTTTGAGTAAAATAACAAAAAGTCGATTTTTTTGTGACACACTTGAAAGACCATGTTAAAAAATGAGAACTTCCTGCAAAACTCCTCCTTGGTTATAGATTTCATAAGCTAAAATTTAAAATAGAGCATAAGAGAACTTACAATTTTGGAAAATCAGTTTGACAAAATGTCCTGTACAGTATTACACTCTGTCTACAAGCACAAGGCTTTTACAGGGTGGTGGGTAGGGCTTACTCTGTGGATATACAAGTATTTGCATATAATTTTCACCAAGCAAATAAAATCCATAATGAAATTAATAGACTCAAAATAACTTTAATCCTCTAAAGATAAAAACTACAGAAAGAATTATGTTGGGGTGTGAATACAAAAGCACCATTTTATGTGTATACATTTTGTGTATATACATGTCTTTTATACATATATGTGTATGTGTATACATCTATAAACAACAGGGAAGATACAAAGATCAGAAAACCAAAAGATTGAGATGTTTCTCGAAATGTTAACTCACCCCCAAGCATACAAAATGAGGCAAGTCAGGCTGCCCTTCAATCTCTCTTTTTCACTGAATTAATTTGTAGGACCAGAGAGGAGCGTTGATGTCACTGATGTCACCAAGCAGAAAGACTGCAAGATGAAGCTCAAGGAATTTGTGGATTACTACTACAGCACAAACAGGAAAAGGGTCCTCAATGTGACCAACCTGGAGTTCTCGGACACGAGGTAAGAGTCCAGGCTCCTGCAGCGTCTGGGGTACATGGTTGGGTCAGCTGGGGGAGCTTGAAGAGCCTCTGCCTTCTCCAGTGGTTCTCTCTTTAGAAAGTGCTGTTTAGCCTTGGGATAGTGGCTTCTTGTTGCTCTGATCCTCCACTGCATCGTCCATATACAGGCCAAGCACTGAAATGAAAGTGCTGTTTGCTATCATCTGAGGAGAATAGTACACAGTGGACGAAATGGGCCAGCATTTGTCATGGTAATTCATGCGTGCATATCAACAGCATTCATGTGCCATCAGCATTCACACATCAGAACATTTTTGGTACCTTTCAGTTTTATTTTAATTTCAGTAGTATACGTATAGTTAGTTCAGTGCAACTAGAACGTAACTTGATGCTCCAGGAGCAAATTCTCTGCCTTGTTCTGGTAGTGAATGATAACATAGTAAGTTCCTGGCATGATCTTAGGTGCTTAGATGCCACTTGATAAATACCGGTAAGACCAAAGAAAGGAGGACAGAGGTGACCACAAAGGTGTGATAACACTGTATGTGGGAGAACAAGGACACAAGGGGTCTTATTTCTTAATATTCTGTGTCATTTTTCTGGTGAGATGGGAATCCTGATGGATATAAGGCGACGACAACCCTTCTTCCACCTTAAGGTGATCTGAAATGTGGTGATCTCCTCAGAGCATTCTTTCTGAAAACGCATTGTACAGCAGTGAGCATCCTACTTGTACAACACTGGTTTGAGTGCATCATATATTGCTTACTGAAATCTTCCATTTAAAGTAGCAGAGAGGGAGTAAATAGATGAGGTGTGGCTTTAGGTGTAGCATAACATGTCACTGGATGGCCTTGAATGAGAATAAGTTTGAAATTATTATAATTTTGCCATCCTATACCATGTATTATAGTTTTAGTGTCAGTGGTTTTGCGAGTTAACCTGTAATCTGTATGGCAGCAGTTCAGAACTAGAATGATGCTGGCTTCTCGATGGAAAGCTGGGGGCTGTGATGGTACTGATGAGCTCTGAGCTTGAGGCTCAGGTGCGTTAGTGATGCAGTGAGCCAGAGGTAACGGTGCTGGCTATGTGCATATCACCGATCCTCAATGACAGGAAGCCTACTATTCTCATGTTTTATATTGTGTGTTTTATATGTAGGATAATTAGCTGATGTAAATGACTAGGAGTTTAAGTTACTGCTTTGTGCTTTATATAGCTGTATCCATCACCTGAACTGTACTTTTATTCCAGAAGTAGGCAGATGCATCTATAATGTATTGAACTTCATGCAACTGTGCAGATCATTTTTACAGTTCTTGTAGTCCTTCTGGGGAGTTAGGACTTCTAGAAGGGAAGTGTCAGAGAAGGAAAGATTCCTTTATACACAAACACTACACAGAAGATGAGAAGTGTCAACATAGAAATAAAGAATGGTTGTTTTGGGGAGCATTCCATTTTAGCGAGAAGACGTAAAGTAGCCTTAAAAAAGAAAGCTGATGAATAATTACAAACTCATTTTTTTTAAAACCATTACCTTTAGCCCGGTTGTTAGTGTTTTAGTAGTGCACATCCATTTCTGCAGAAGCATCTCTAGTAATTACAGACTTCAAAGATTACCAGTATCTTCAGTTGAGATTTTTTTGGCTTTCTACCATTATCCTAGAATAATGGGAGGTCTTTTGTTCTGAAGGGCTGCTGGAGCTGTCATTCATATGCTGCTAATTTAGACATTAACTAGCAAATATTTTATGTCTTACCATAGACAGTGACACTTTAATTGAATGCACTGCTCCATCTTTCTCTGCCATTTTAAATGGAGCTATTGTTATCAGTGAGCATAAATGACACATAGGAGCATTTAATTTTAGTTTGAAGTGCAGTTGCTCTTACTGACATGATATTTTAGAGCATCCAGGAGTGAAAGTCCACCCCCTGCAAATATTAGTCCAAATTTTGGACTATTTAAATATAAAATTTAGCACGTTCTGGGATGAAACACTTTTAATACCTGTTTATCATGCCACTACATCGTCTTAGCTGTGTTTTACACTATATATTATATATGCAATATAAATATAATATCTAAATTATATAAACAAATATATACAATATGAATATATGCTCAATTTAAATAAATCTATTCATTAGTATAAATTATATAAATAAATATGATATATGTTGTATTTAAAATATATTCACATTATCAAGTCAAATTAGACTTTTTCTTCTGAGCTTTTAATGTAATTTTGTCAGTCTAGAGAAGAAAATCACTGTGATTTTCAGCATCAGATCAAGACTTACTTAGTCCTTAAGTATTAACGTCCTTGTTACAAGGATTTTTAATATTAAGCTTAACTTGCCATTTTTTAAGATTTACCAGACCACTTCTGTAAGAGTGCACACATTTCACTTTCTCTTCTGAAGGGGGCTGGAAAAGTGACTGTGGTAACAGCGGTGTTGATAACTGAGCCTACACAGCAAGAGGCAGGGACTGGAAAAATACTAACAACGTATACTTGATCATAAATACTGCTACTGAAAGAAGTCAAAGGATCGTTGCTAAGTCGTCATACTTAAAAAGCTTAAATCTCTATCTGTAAACAGTTTTCACAAATTTTCTGAGTGAAGAGCAGTTCCACTGACATATAAGGAGTTGCTTCAGATTGCCGTGCAAGTATGAGAGTCACACTCCGCTTTTGGTTGTGTCAGGGTCCTTGTGCTCTTTTTTAAAAAGATGCATGTTTGTTTTCAATTCTCTCTGTAAAGGATGTCCAGTTTTGTAGAGCCCCCAGATATAGTTAAGAAGCTGTCCTGGGTGGAAAACTATTGGCCTGATGATGCTCTTCTGGCTAAACCAAAAGTTACCAAGTACTGCCTGATCTGCGTGAAGGACAGCTACACAGATTTCCACATAGATTCGGGAGGAGCTTCTGCATGGTACCATGTGCTGAAGGTGAGGGGTCATGTTTTTGCAGTGTATCTAGTAACGAACTACATTTTATATGCAAAGAACACCCTAAAATTCTCTCAAAAATTCAGGTCTCAGGTTTTTTTCTGCACGGTCTTGTTGTATCCCTAAGTAATATGCAGAGCCTTAACTGCTGTAAGTGGGTATGCTCTCAGCAGTGGCAGGGTCTACTGAGTGAGGAAGCCATGTGGAGTGTGGAAGTTGTCTGGGTATTTTCACTGTATTAGGATTTTAGAATTTGTTTAGTGCCTTCTGCACGTATGTCACCGAAGGCCTGAGAGATATGCTTTTGCAGGGTAACAGAACCTGACACTGTAAACTTTTTGCATCATCAGTCCCACAAATCTGAGCAAATGTGGTCAGCTAGTGATTTAATTATTTCAGCTGTTCTGTACAAAGCTGACTAGTAAATTTTACTTACATAGTGTTAAAATTCATAATGTTACATATTTGGATAAGTATGTGTGTATGTATCTATGCCAGTGCAGCATTGTTTGGTTTGGCTGCTTGTTGCTAATTTTATATTTTCTAATTCAGGGAGAAAAGATATTTTATCTCATCAAACCAGCCTCTGCAAATATTTCTCTTTATGAACGCTGGCAATCGGCAGCAAACCACAGTGAGATGTTTTTTGCAGACCAAGTAGATAAATGTTACAAATGCACAGTTAAACAAGGACAGACACTCTTCATTCCATCAGGTGAGCTGGCTGTTGCAGGTGAGGTTTCCTGCTTATTTTAGAGCTGCTGAAATAGCATGTCCAAAATGCTAGAGTGATGTGATTTGATGTCTTTCTTTGACAAAGCGTGAAGTCTAATTCTCAGTAGAAGTATAATTTCATATGCTTACCAAAAAAAAATTAATCTGAATTTTTACTGCTTTCTATCAGTATTTTAGCAGCCTTTTAAAAATACAACTAGAAGGTACAGTGCTCCACTCTTGGTGTAGCTGGATTGCAGTAACTCAGGAATTCTCTCCCTCTATCCAACCATGACATTGGTGCTTTTTGCCATCTACCAGAGAATTCATGTTGAATTGCTTTCTGGCCATGACTCCCCACAAAATCCTTTTATGGTCATTGATTCCCTGTGACACTAAGGAACTATACATGCCTGCACGAGTGTGAGTGTGCATTTAGGGTTTCACATGAGGCCTGGGTGTCACAGGTTTTTATAGGTTACTTGATAGACTCAGGCTTTCATTGCAGGTTAGGGGTGACGGGTTTTGTTTTTCTCAGTTCCTAGGAGGATCTTCATAAGGATAGGGAGTTGGTCAGAAGATAGTGCAGCGTTTTAAGTGAAGGCAGTTCTATTCCTGCCCCTGTCCCTCCACTTCTTTTCACCGTGGACTCATTTGCATTGCTGTTTCCAGCACTCCGTTACCTGTCTTTGTTATTGTCATTTGGGTTTTTATCCTTGGGACTCTTTTCTTTCTCTTTTAGGTTGGATTTATGCAACTCTGACACCTGTAGACTGCCTGGCCTTTGCAGGACATTTTCTACATAGTCTAAGTGTTGAAATGCAGATGAGGTAATTGGTCTTCAAAATGTAAAGTTAGGTAGAGGCTCAGTTTTTAATAAATTGGCCATCCTCTCTCCTATTAATTAGCCTATGTTTGCAGTAACATTGATGTAGGTCTGTCGGGCGATTTTGGAAAGTGTACCCACGTTTGTCCCCTTTGAGTGTGTTCTGCCGTGCTGTGTTATTCTAAGCTGTCTTTACACCTATTACATAGTCCATGGAAGAATATGTGAGGTGCTTGGATTGATGTGGCCAAGTCCTGAAGGAAGAAGTATTAAAAACTGTCAGGAGTTTTACCCTAGAACATGCCATTCACCTTCTGGATAAGCCCCCACCTGCTCAACTGGGCTCTTTGCCCAGTGTAAGACAATACAAGTAGTTCTTTACTGATGCCGGACAAATAAAGCAATAAAACTGTCTTACATCTGTATTGCAAAGTTCCTTACTAGTGTTATTTTTATGTTTTGCTTTTGGTCCGATGCCAGAATACGTGGTAGCAGCACAAAGAAATGAAGCACTGCAAAATAAAGCTCGGGCATTTATGAGCAGTGCTTGTCACTGCATGACATACTTGTGACCTGCTGTGCTTTAAGTTCATGTGGCTTTGTATTGCAGGGCATATGAAGTAGAAAGACGGTTGAAAATTGTCAGTCTGACCCAGTTTCCAAACTTCGAAACTGCATGTTGGTATATGGGAAAGCATCTACTAGAGACATTCAAAGGTAAGACTGCATTTCTTTGCCTGTCTTAATTGCTTAGCTTTGGGGGCCTGAAAATAGTTACTCTTAATTTCTGCTGATGTGCCACACAGAAGATACTTGTTATCTTGTAAACTACTTGTATTTGTAAACTGCTTTTAACATACCAGCAGAACATGCTGGTCTGGTCCAGCTCTCCCCTTAACATCCTGCCACATCGCTCTAGGAAGGATTTTACCTGTCCCTCTTACCTATGCCTAAGGGAAGGTTTTTTTATAATTTTTATATACATTTATAGAATGTATTTAAGCTGCCTCAGAGGCAAATGATGTAACATTTTTTTTAGTTTTTACTTGCCTGTCAAGTCTGGATTCATCCCCTGTTTTAACCTAATGAACTACATGCTCTGTCAACCCAGGGCATAGAGTAGCACTTCCTTCTCCCATCATTCTGCTGATCCTGGTTAAAGTACATGGGCAGGCCGCATATACATGGGGCCACAGGAACATCAGACATGTGGCCAGCAGGAGTACTGAGAATTAAAACAAAATTTTCTGTGAAATTCAAGATCTTCCAAATCAGATTCCTTCCGACTTGATCCAAACATCCATGCATGTATGTTCTTTACAGATTCGGGCTCGCTTTGCTCTTTGGCTCTATTTCTCTTACTACTACGTGTCTAGAGACACCCACCAGATCCTTTTATAATGAGAAAAATGTGTCTAATTAATAAGCAAGGTTAGGGGTCCCTCTGAGGGACTGTAATGGGGGGAAAAGTTTAGGCAAGCTTGTACTCCTGCAGAAGTGAAATGCTTTGCCCAACGTAACCTTTGTTTCCACGTATTGGTACTCACTTTTTCAGTCAGAATAAAAGAACCACTGATGGTACCTTTTTATTCCCAGAGCCTAGCGTGTATGAACATGGAAGCTAGCTTGAGTATGGGACCAATAAAGGAACCAGAAGGATTGCCAGTGTAGGCATACCTTGCAGGAGCACAGTGTAGAAAGGCTGAGTTGGATTTATGACACAGTAAATATACTCCTTATTACCGTCAAGTTATAATAGGGATTCATTTATGGTGACCAACTTTCAAAGAGTTAACTTTCATAGTTAAACTTTTCAAATTAAAGATGTTATGTAAAACAACTTTAGCTATCAGTATTTGAATGGCATTGTGTTTTTTCCCTGCTTAGGTTTGCATAAAGCTGGGCAACAACCTTCTGCTCATTTACTTCAAGGAGCAAAAATTCTCAATGGTGCTTTCAGGTCATGGACTAAAAAACAGGTAGGATGTTTTAATATTGTGTGTTTGTCAGGTTTGTCAGTCAGTGGAGCAGACAGCAAATGCTAGAACAAATGTATCTCCATAGCAAAATGGCCAATTCTAAAATCCCAAAGAGAAGGGACTGGGAGAACATGGAAGGAGAGCGATAGCTGGGATTTCATAGTGCCGCATGAGCAGTCAGCAGAAAAAAAGGTACCACCAGAGTTTTGAAAAACTCAGTTTTGCACACAGCCAAAAGAATACTGAATGAATGTTCTCCCTCACTCTGAGCATTTTCATGTGCCAAATCAATTAAGCAGAGGTTGCGTATGCAAGTGAGGCCTAGAACAACACCTGCGTTTTTGTATGCACAAGGTGTCCAGTTCCTGCAAATCAACACGTTAATTGAGCCAGGAAATACATATGGGTTGGAGAGAAGGCTTAAAGGGATTTGCAGCCTGAATTTCCTGCTGCAGTCATTTCAGAAGTGTTATTCTTGCGTGTGTTGCTCCTAAAGTTTTGGGGAATTAGCTGCAGAGACAGGCCATTCAATCATAAAACATGAAGAGGGGAACTAGCAGCTTTAGGATTTTCAGACATTTTAAGAAGGGATGAGCAGCTGAGTACATAATGTTGCATACACAGTTAGGTCAGTTAGGTGGCTGTCCCAGATTTAAATGTAGTCAGGGACTTGGCTGCTCCCTACTGCAAAAAGACAGTGCTTTTGAGCCTGAATTCACAATTGCTCCCTGGTTTCCTGTAGAAGGACTGACTGGTGTGGAAGCTCTCTTCTCTGTGTCACCCTGTTTATTTTTCCACTTGGCATGCAGACTGTGTTGGCATTTAGGTGAAGTTGAACTTTGAATATTGTAACATGACATGTGAATGCAAATGTTGTTAGTCCTGTCAGGGAGCTCCCAAACCACTCTGCTGACAAAGTATATGCCTATTGTAGTCGTTGAAGACACCAGCCTAACACAATCTCTCCTTGTAGATGTAGAAAAGGAATTTCTCACAGAATCTCATCTAAGGGGGTGAGCAAAGTGATGTTTCTGTTGTGAAAATGCAACAATATCTGAAAAAGACTATTGACTTTTTTACAATAACATCTAGAAGGGTAAAAAAGTATATTTTCCCCTTATTTGGACTACTGATGCAGTCAGTATTGATTTCAGTACATAGGAAAAATACGGACTTACTGAGGTTTTTTTATATTTTTGCAAAAAATGTACACAGAAACAGCAGTCTGGCTTTCTTGTGTTTTAGGCTTTAGCAGAGCATGAAGATGAGCTACCAGAAAACTTCAAACCAGCACAACTTATCAAGGACCTTGCCAAAGAAATAAGATTAAGTGAGGTTTGTGCTGTTTCTATAATATTAACTATATTATGGATCGTTTAATAATCTAGGCTATAAAATGAATTAATTGAAATAAATGAAGCTTTTTTTTCCTACTCCATTAAAACAATTCATGTGAGGTTTCACAGTAGGGCGACTGCTCAGGACTCTTGTCTGTGGCCGACTAGCCACATGTTCTGGGCTTCTGTTTGCTTTCTTGTTGGCTTTACACCATGTCTGCCTACCCTACATCCTTTCTCCTCTGCCTTCTCCTAGCTGGACTGGCCATGCTCCGCTCTCCATCCTTTTTTTCTCTTTCACTTTAGCTACTCCCCACCTAAAAACATGATAGAACTCAAAGAACCCTGGTGCCGTCTCCATGACCACGCTCCCTATGTAGCATTTTCTTTTCCTTATATTCATCAGTCTTGTCTATGACATTGTCTGAGTTTTGGACTATTATTTTGTACGTTGTCCCAATAGGGAGCCTTGCTCTTGGCTGGCCTCTAGGCAAAGTTACTATACCAAATGCAATAATAATT